GGAACAGGAGTGAGAGGCTGCTGCTGCTCACCAGTGAATCTCCAGCCAGAAAACAGACTGAGGGTAGGAAGTGGAGCTAAACTCTTGCATCCCAAGGCCCACCCTCCAGTGATCTATCTACAAGCTCCATTTCTTAAGGGTTCCACAACCAATTAAGAACCAATTTACAATTTACACTGGAGCCTACAGAGGGTGTGCCCCACCCAAACCATTAACACATGCTAGAAGAGAAGTTGCCATAGCAATACAGACCATCAGAACTTTAGAAGACCTGTTGTTCCTCTGGGGTTTCCCTCGTCCTGTGTGGAACTGGCTCTCAGCTCTACCGTGACCAAAAGAAACTTGAGGAAGGAAGGAGTTTACCCCAGTCTACATTCCAGACAGACAAGGAGCCATCATGCTGGGAAACACGGCAGCAAGTGTCTGGCACAGTGAAAACAGCTGGAAGCTGAGAGATCACATCTTAACTGCAAGCTCAAGGCAGAGGGGGTGAACTAAACATGGGGTACGGTTATAAATTCCCACAGCCTGTCCTTATGACACGCTTCCTTCAGCAAGACCACACCTTCTAAACCTCCCCAAACAGAACCACCAGCTGGGGATCCAGTGTTCAAATACCCCAACCTATGCGGACATTTCTCAATCACACCACCACAGAGGCTTTCTCTAGTTCTACCATTAAAGAATAATTTGTTTTGGATTGTGAAGTCTTTCTGACTTTCAGGTTTCTCTGCTACCATGTAGGCACCTTGGGAGGAGGTAACAACTTCCCCCACTCACTAATGGCAGTTTTGAAAATGAGCAGAAATCGGAGCTCTATTGGAAAAGCACAAGACTAGGCATTAATAGAGAAGTTGGGATGCAGCCCACGCCCCTTCTTCATACTTCAGCGTCTGATTTGCAAAGTATTTGGTTTCAATATTTAGCTGCAAGAGCCAGATCTGAGCATGTAGAGGGGGAAGAAATAACCCCGGAAGGGAAGAAGCATCAGTTAGATATGTAAAATAGCTGATTTGAAATTAGCCTCTGATTCAAATTAAGGTGCATTAATTTCTCCAGAGGCGGGTGGGGTGCTCTGTCTATGTGGGGTGAGCTAAATGAAGCTGTTCTGTGATTCATCACCGAAGTGGCTGCCTAGCACCGTCATTCCTCATGGGGGCCCAGCCATCGGTAAGCTGATTACACTGCTTGCGCCACACAGGGTTGGAGCGTGCTTGCTTTACTTCTGTTTAGATTCTGAGTTGAGTCCAAGTCCAGCAGTGGTGTGATTGCTTGTGTCCTCCATGGGAGGTTGTTCCTCAATAAGTTGGAACGGGTCCAAGTTGTCCTGGCCATGCTGAGCCTAGATGGATGTGAATGACATGGCCAATTAAGAACATCATCCGTCAGTTAGTCAATTAATATGCACTAATTGAAGAACTAAAGAACAGTGGGTTACACATTATGGGGGATATAAATATGCATGAGACTGTGCTCTATCCTCAGGTTACATAGGCAATACTGGAGAGTCATTTTCAGTTATGTTGACCCTCGCTCTCAGCCAACAGTAACCATGGGAGGCAGACTCAGATAGGCACTCCTTTGTCTGAATGGGCTCTGGAGTTATCTGCTATGGCCAAGTTACTGGAACTAATAGATGGATGGAAGACATTTAGCATGAAGACACAACCTCCCTTTCTGCCAATGTTTGTAGTGTGTGCATTCAATTGGCCCTTGGCTCTTGTTTCCAGGGTTTGGTTTGGTTTATTCTTCTTCCTATTGTTACTGGATCTTCTCCCTGAACTCCAGCTCAATCAGCAAGAAGCTTGTTGCCTTCAGTCTCTTTATTGTCTCATTAACCAGGATTTTTCAGACTCAGCACACATGACATCTGGGGCCAGAGACCTCCAGTGTGATCTTTACCCTCTCCACTGTAGAGTGTTTATCAGCATCCTTTGTCTATTAGATGCCATCAGTAGCTCTTTAGCCCCATCTTGACAATAAAAAAATGTTTCCAGACATTACCAAATGTCCCTGGGGTGGGAACAAAATCACCCCATCTCTCCATTGATTCAAAAAGACCTCCTTAGATCCCTGGGGCTGTCTGGTCAGTCAATCTAGCTAAATCAATGAGATCCAGATTCATTAAGAGATTCTGTCTCAAAAAATAAGGTTGAAGAAGATTGAAGAAATCACCCCAAATTAATCTCAGGCCTAAGTACACACACATACACTCAACACACACACACACACACACACACACACACACACACACACACACCCCTTGTTCTAGGAGTCCATGATTGAAGTCATGAAGTCTGTTCCTTTACTTTTCTTTTTCCTCCCACTTATGAGCACCTGGGTCAACAGGGTTAGCCTTTTCTCATTTCTAAGAAGACATCTGACATAGATCCCATTTTTCTAAATTCCAGAGAGCCTTAGCACTTCTCTCTTCAAAGCAAGAAGCCCTAGAGATGCTGCTGGCTGAAATCAAACTCAGTTGGGGAGCACTCTCCATCAGTCTGAGAGTACTGTTTATTGCTGTTCTTTGTTAGAGAGCAGGCTAGTCATGCCTGTGAGACAAGTTGGTGTGCCCATGCTATTCCTTCTCCAAGCACCCCACAGAATAGGCTAGCTGTCCTCCAATAACCAAGATGTCTCAAAATTGAGAATTCTATCTTGAGACAGATCTGTGCTTTTTATATCAAGCATAAAATCATAGAAAGCATCTTTTCTTTAATATTTTAATTTGTTTTTGATAATTTCATGCTGTGTATAATGTACTTTGGTCATATTCTTCCCCGGATCCCTCTCTTGTCCCCCATCACTTCCCCTGGAACTCTTCTTCCCAACATATTCCCTCCTTCTTTCATATCCAGTTTAAAAATTAAAATATAATTACATCATCTCCCCCTTTTCTCTACCCCCTTCCATTTATAAAAATAGTTCAATAAGTTTAATTAAGATTGTTTGCATATGTGTAGCTGGTTTATGG